CCAGGTCTCGATGCAGCCCATGCATGCTGGCGCCCAGGCCAATGACCTCAATTACGTGGCTCAGGTATCCAAAGCCGGCCCTGATGCTGATGGCATCTTGCCTCGTGACCTGCGCGCTCTCATCTCAATTTGGTGGCATCAGGCCTTGGAGCTGGGATACACCGTCAATGATGTGGATGAGGAGCAGCGAACCCCTATCATGTTTGCTGCCGCGGCTGGCGCGCGTGTAAGATACATGCTTGCACAGACGCTTTGGTCTCACCCTTGCCTGCTTCCCAGTTTTCTTTTAAAGGTTGAGCATGGTTCGCACTCACACAGAGCGGCTCCCCCCCTCGATTCATTTTTTTCCTAGGAGATGGTGGTCTTTTTATGTGACAACGCTGCAGACCTGACAGTCGCCGACATGAACGGCCTTACCGCCTTGCACTACGCCGTCAATGCTGAGCAGGCCAAGGTCGAAACGCCTGCCCCAACGTTGTCCCAACGCTTTGTGCTCGTCGTTTTATAGACGCATGAGGCTCACTCGGCCTTCATCATCCCTTCTCCTTCACATCTCTCCCTCCCTCTCTCCCATTTCCTTTCCTTGTACAGGTGGCACGCATCCTCGTTGAGCGTGGTGCCAGAGCTGATCAACAGGATGCTGAAGGCCGTACCCCGCTCCACTATTGCGTGACGAACGAGAGCTCCAAAACCCTCAAGGCCATCTGCGAAGCTGCCCTGGCCACGCACCCCGCCGGATACCTCGACGCCGTGGACGCCACCGGCATGACGCCCTTGGTCCGTGCAGCCGGCTGCCCATCGGGCCCCCGTCTCATCTTGACCACCCTCCGCCCGACCCCTGTTGCGTCGCAACCTTGGTCCTCATCCCTGTTTCCCCACATAGATGTGGTGCATCGCCCAGGGCCGAACCAAGCTTGTTCGTACCCTGCTCAAGCAAGGGGCCGACCCGCGCGTCCAAACTTCCGCCCCCGTCGTGGACGAGTCTGGCGAAGAAACTCTGGTCGCCAAATCAGCCATTGCCTTTGCCTTGGACTCGGATGATTCCGCCAATCTTCAGTGCGTCTCACCTGCTTCTTCTTGCTGCTTTGTTTTCTTGCCCCTGCGTTGACTCTGGGCGCGTTCTATTCGAATCAGCTCTTCCTGCTCCTCCCCTTACTCATTCTTGTCATGGGCCCATTAGGCTTTTGGTAGAAGCCCAGCCCGAGTTGATGGTCATGGCCGACGAGCAAGGCCGTGCACCCCTTCACGTCGTCGTGGCCGATGGTAAGGGCTTGGCAGTTGCCGCCGATGGCTTCATGCTCACGTCGCGTACTGCCCAACTTGCCGTTTCCTCATTGTGGCACACTTGTCCTGGTCCGTGACTGACTGTAGGGGATGGCACCAAGACGGAGCTCCTCCTGACACTTGGTTGCGACCCTAACCTGGTTGATCAGAGCGGGCGGTCAGCCTTGCATTGGGCCGCCGCCTCAGGCCATGTGGATCTCACGGGTTATCTCATGCAAATCGGTGCCAACGAAACGCTGGCTGACATGCATGGCTGCCTGGCCTTGCACTACGCGTGCCAACACGACCATGGCGCCACTCTTGTCGAACTTCTGCTGGCACATGGTCGAGGTATCAACGCCCTTGATGCACAACAACGTTCACCTCTGGCTTGGGCTGCCATGCAAAATCAGCCCATCGTGCTCCAAACCCTCTTGGCAGCCGGTGCTGATCCTCTGATCCCAGATGAAGATGTAAGCGCACCCGGATTCCTTTTTCTTCTTCTTCGCTTGACATCCTTTGATGCTTGTCGCCCAAGTCGCCCATGTTGGTCGGCCTTATTTGTGCAGCCAGGCAGTTTGCTTCAACCCTTTCGCGCCTCACTATTCGACTGGTTCGGTGCTTGTGCAATGCTAGGGGCGCGTTCCTTTGCATCTAGCTGTCTTGGCTGAAGCCATCCCCTGCATTGCAGCGCTGGGCAACAACGCCAAAGCCTTTACCGCTCAGGATGCCGCGGGCATGGTCAGTACCAACCGTGACCTTTTATCTTGCTCCCCTGCTCCCCTGCTCCTGCTCCCCTGCTCCCCTGCTCCCTGTTTCCTTTTATTGTCAGTCTTGCACAAAGACTAAGACTGTATTGCAAAGGTTTGACTCATTCTCCTGTTTGCTTTGTGTTCCCATCGCAATTGAACGCATTCCATGCGCAGACGCCGCTGCTCTCGGCCGTTGAGGGTGATTCGCTGGCTACTGCGCAAGCTGTGCTAGACGCTGGCTGCGACCCAGCTTTGGCCGTGGATGCCGAGGGTCGTAACTTGTTACATTGGGCCGCCATGCGTGACAGCCTGGATCTTTTGAACCTGGCCCTTCAGCACCTTCCCCTCGACACCCTCGACTCCTCGGGCAAAACGGCATTGATCTACGCCAGCTACCGTGGTCAGACAGAAGCCGTTCCCGTGCTCATTGCACGTGGTGCGCAAGTCAATGCTCAGGACCAAGACGGTGTCTCCGCGCTGCATTGGGCAGCACTGGGTGGCTTTACTCCTGTCGCCGAATTGCTGCTGGCCGCCGGTGCGCAAGTGAATGTGCAAGAAACGCAAGATTCTCACAGCACGCCATATGACTATGCAATGGCCAACGGCCATACCGAAACCGCCAATCTGCTCGCCCAGCATGGCGGCTGCGGGGTTGCTAGCCTGCCCGATGCCGCCTCGACGGCAACTGACAACGTTGAGCAAGCCCCGGCTTCTTCGAACAACGCGCCCGCGGCGTCCTCAGACGCCGAGGCCGCTCCTGCGATGGCTTCTGACCCTACTTCGAGTGCTAATCCGGCACCCGCATTTAAACCCGAGCCCGAACCCGAGAGTGCCGGCGCGCAAGATGAGCCGCCATCCACGCCCAAGCGTGGTTGGGGCAAACGCCGCAAGAACAAACGTGACAAGAGCAGGCGCCGGTCATCTTCCAAGGACAACGCCATTCCCGAGCCCACGGCTGAGCCCGTGCCTGTGCCTGAGCCAGCTGCTGCGTCTGTTGAACCGTCAACTCCGGCATCACCTCCTAAGCCCACGCCTGCTCGGAAGCAACAAGAACAGGAGGTGCAGGCGGCGGCAGCCAAGCGCATCCAAGCTTTTTTGCGTGGCGCTTTGGCTCGAAAGGCATACCAGCTGCTGCAGGCTCGTCGTCAAGCCGCGGTGACAACGATCCAGGCCTCGTGGCGTGTAAGTTACAGGCCGTCTCATGCCTGCTGGCCCTCACTTCGCGGGTTTGTCCGCTCGAACGAACTTTTTGTTTTTTATTTTTATTCTATTTTGTGTTTCACTATCGTATGATAGGGCTACACGGCGCGGAAAGCCTACAAGAACAAGCGCCGCAAGGCGGCTGAGCGGCGTGCGCGTGCTGAAAAGCGCGCTCAGGCCGAGGCTGAAGCCGACCGCATCGTCCAGGAGCAACGGTCAGCTGTCTTTTCTGCATCCGTCTTCTCTAGGGTATGATGCAGCATCTCATCCTCAACCCTGTCCGTCTTGTCTCACCTTTCCAGGGCTCGGGAGGCCGAGGAAGAGCGGCTGGCTGAGGAGGAGCGTCTTCAGCGAGGCCTATTGTTGGCCACTGCCAAACGCCACCGAGACACGACGCGAAACGAAAGCCAGCGCGTGGCCCAAGTTCGCATCAAAATCGAGGTATGCTCCGCCATGCCCCCACCACGTCGTGGCCTTGAGTCTTCCCGCTTGCTTTTGGACAGCAAGAATGAGCTTGGTGCTCACGTTCGCCTTGCATTGTGTATGGTGGCACACAACAGGCGGCCACGGTCATTCAGCGTGCATGGCGCCGGTGGCGACGCGGGTTTGCTGTCAAGCCGGCCCCAAGCAAAGCAGGGACCACATCATCTGCTGCAGCACATCGGCGCGGGCGCAATGACACCACGCCGCGGGTCGGTATGCCACCCTCATCCACGGCAAAAGCCCAATCACTGACCAAGCCCAAGGCGTCGGGTCGGAAAACCATGTCCAATGCACAACGTCAACACGAGGCGCAAACGGCGGCACGACGTCGCTTGATTCGCCGCCCAGTGTTTCCCAAAACCTACACCGCCGCCTCTCACTCCTGGTTGGATCAGGATCAAAACGTGGTGCCGCTTCCTGATCTGGTGCGCAACTACCGCACCATGCGCAAAAAACACCGCGGCAACATGTCCACTTGGCTGTCGACGTCGTCCGAGACACCGCCCGCTTCCACCCTCCGACGCGAGCAGCTGCGTGCGCTCAATGAATCCCTGGGCAGCAGTCGGAATAGCGAGCCACCTGCAAGTCCCACCAAGCTGTGGGCTTCACAAGGCTCCGTGACCCTTCCAGCCATTTCCTAAAACGCTCCTGGTCGTTGTGTGCTCATCATCTGATGTCGCCACGCCAAAAGCGAACGCGCCCTTTTCTTTTTCTAAAATGTTTGACAGGACTAACTGATTGATCTTCTTTTTTCTTTCTTTATTTGTTAATTATTCTTGTCGTTCCAACGTGACACACGCGTCTTGTGCGTGGTCCTTCCCTCACTCTCACGCTCACTCTTTTTTCAGGGAGGGGAGCAGGGGGCAAACTGTTTCCTGTGTTGAAGCTCCAGGCTTGATCTATTCAAGAAAAAAAAAAACCTCCGATGATAAAAATTGTGAACACGAGAGTTTTGAGCAATCGAATGGGTATCCGAGTGCAATTAACTCGACCAAGAAAAGAAATAAAAGCAGTCATTATTCGCCAGCTTGATAAAAGGAGCGAAAAAAAAAAGACAAAGTTTCCGTTCAAGAATGTGCGCTGCGCTACATATCAATGGCCTGGCTAGCTAGCCATTCGCGAGCGCGGCGTTCAGTTTCGTCTTGCAGGGCATGTCGAAGGCGGACGGCATAGGAGCCGCTATGCATGCTCAACATGAGTAGGCGGGTATATTGGGCAGCGCTGAGGACGTGGCACAGGTGAGCCATGACTGGACGGATGTCAAATGTGAGCGCAGCCTCCCAGGCTTCGCGTTCACGGGTAAAGTCCTCATCCACAGCGTCCGTTGCTGACTCAATCTGCCGCATTTCGTGGGCCAGAAATGGGCCAACAATTTCGGCGAGTACGTAAGCCACATCGGCGTTGATGGCTTCGAAAAATTGAGCATCCTCGGGCCGGGCCAGCATTCTTTGGCATAGATCAAAGACCAGCGCATACTCACGCAGGCTTGCAAGCTGGCGACCAAAGATGTGAAAATCCATAAGGTCGTGCAGCTTGGACAAAATGGGCGGGGCCTATGGTTCGGCGGGCGGGGTGTGAGCTGAGGTAGCTTGCTTGTATTCGAGAGCGAGAGAGACGGCAAAACTTGGAGGGGCGAGCGACGTACGCGTGCGCGCAGGCCGTTGAGCGGGCGAGGCTGCTGGAGGTTACCCGAGCCCATGCGAATGGTCGCAAGGACGGCGGCATCAAACAGGGTGAGGTTGCAGCGCTCCCATTTGCCGGCAAAGGGGGTGTCGTTGCGAGCGACAAAGACGTTTCGAAGGGGCATAATGTTCTTGAGACGAAGACGGGTCTGGCAACGCCAGGAAGAGAGGTCGAGGAGGGTGACTTTTAGACGTTCGACTTCAGCGGGCTCGAGCTCCTGGTGCAAGGGAAATAATGTCGGTGAGTGCAGAAGAGGCGAGGGCTACAGCGGTCCAAGCGGTGATAAGGTCCGAGCCGCACCTGAAGGGCGCGCTGAATGATGGCATTGGCGTCTTCGATAAAACCGCCCGTGATCTCGCGGAGCGCGTTGCAGACAACGCCCCGCCACCAATCACATGTAAAGGCAATAGCCAGGAGATAGTCCTGTGGAGCAAGGCGCACGCGGTGAGGGTGCCTTGGGCGACGTGACGCTGGAGAGCCCCAAGCAACACGCCAATTGCACACAACAGCCACGGGCGAGCGGTGACCAAGTCGTCGAGCAAGGAGGGATCGGCAGCACGGAGAATTCGTACATAAGTTAGCGGAATGGATTCAAGAATAATTTGAATTATCACCTGCAGTTTGTGAGGTGGGGTAGGACAAGGTACGCTGGTGAGCTGGGGGAGGGTGTGAAGGGGTCAGGGGTTTGGGGTCGTGCCGCAATGCCGACGTACGGCACGAGGGAGGATGCGATTGATATCGATAAACTTGAGTTCAAAAGCGGAGCGCTTGTGAGGGTTGCGGATGCGAGGGACGCGGACATCGAATTGAGGACCTTGGGCCAGGTTGACTTGGAAGAAGAAACGCTTGGTGGCTGGGCGGCCTTGGACCTGCCAGTAGAAGCGGGAACCGGCCCGGACGCGCCAGCGGGAGTTTTCTTCGGGCGGGACTTCTTCACCCAGGTCGGTGGAGGCACGATAGGCGTCGAGGGGGAGGTCAGCAAGGTCGTATTCCGAGACCTGAACGGCGCGAGAAACGGTGGGAACGGCGGGGCGCTGGCGGGCCTGCTGATCAGCGGCTTGGGCGGCTTGGGCGGCGGCGGCTTCATTGACCTGTGCGCGTTCGTTTCGGCGCTGATCGTTGCGAAGGCGACGCCGAGTCAAAGCCATGGCTTCTTCGCGCTTGGCCGCGGCGTCCTGGTGCATGGCATCGGTGAAGGAGCGACCGCCAAGTTCCTGCTTGAGCTTTTGGATTTCAGAGTCGAGGTCCAGGAAGGTGTTGAAATCCAGCGAATCTGGTTCTTGTTGGTCGTGATTGTGGTCATGGTCGTGGTTGTGGTTTTCTTCTTGGTTGTGGCCATGGTTATGACCATAGTCGGGGTCGGGGTCGAACTGGTCACAGCTGGAGCTGGGCTGGGAGCTTAGGGCCGAGGGTGAGCTGGCGGTGGTGGTAAGGGGTGGTGACTGTGGGGGTGTGATTGTGCCCCACATCTCGTTTGTGCCATTGAGATGGACGGGGGGTGGAGGAGCGGCAACGTTTGTGTTTGTGTTTGCGTTTGCGTGTGCATCTGCGTCGTCGGGGGTGCGGGTGCGGGATTTGGTGGCTTTTTTCTTTTTCTTCTTGCGCTTGTTGCTCGTGGTGGTGGCGGGCGTGTTGGTCGGGGAGGGCGCGGGTTGGGTCGGTGGGGGCTGGGCGGGGAGGGAGCGCTGTCGGCGGCGCTCGAGGAGTTTGAGGTTGAGTTTGCAGCGGGTGCAGGTGCGGTTGCATGGGTGACCCCCGTGATCGAGGATCCACTGGGCGAGTTCGTGGTGTGAAGCCTCAAAGGCCACGTGCAGCGGGGTGTGGCCGGCAAAGCAAGTCCCGTTGATGTTGGCGCCCATATCAATCAAACACGAGACGCAGGGGATAGAGCCCTAATAGGAAGGGGGTGGGGAAGGAAGGGGGGTGCGTGGCACGGGGATATGGATGTGAGTGAGGCGGGCCAAGGGCCCCGCGCGTTGCTGCGATGACCAAGGTGGGATCAGAAGACTGACGGTGCGGCAGCATCGATGCAGGGGCGTCTCGCCATCGTCCGAGGCGTGAATGTCCACATCGGTCATGCGCTCAGCGATGAGCTACACACACACACACACACACACACACACACACACGCGCGCGCGCGGACGGGACCCACCCGACCGAGCCAAACGCGCGGGGCACGAGTGAGTGAGGGAGAGGGTTCAATACAAAGATCATGGGGCCTGCCAATCAGCTGGGCAACGCGAGGAAGAGGGAGAGGGAGAGGTGCCAGGGCATACGGTCCAACAGCACGTACTACGAGGGTGCCAAGGTTACCCGAGGAGGCGGCAGCATGTAACGGCGTCCCGCTCATGTGAGACCGAGGTCGCGGCTCTCTCGGCGGCCGCTTGTGACTTCCACCACCACCACCACCACCACCACCACCACCACCACCATCACCATCCTCCTCTACCCCAGCAGCGCCATGCTCCTCCCATTCATCCTCCTGCTGCCCCCGACGACGTCCCCGACCTCCCCCACTGCCATCTCGACTTTGCGACGACATGACGCCCCAACGTGTGTGTGTGTGTGTGTGTGTGTGTGGGAGAGAGCGAGAGAGTGAGCGAGTGAGAGAGTGAGAGTGAGAGTGTGTGTGTGTGTGAGAACGTTTTGAAGAGAGAGAAGAGAGAGAAGAGAGAGAGAAGAGAGAGAAGAGAGAGAGAAGAGAGAGAGAAGAGAGAGAGAAAAGAGTGAGAAAAGAGAGAGAGAAAAGAGTGAGAAAAGAGAGAGAAGCGAGAGAGAAGAGACAGAGAAGAGAGAGAGAGGGAGAGAGGGAGAGAGAATGAATTGGTGAGAGAGAAGAGAGAGATTAGAGAGAGAGAGAGACATAGAGGGAGAGATTTCGAGAGAGAGAGAGAGAGATTTAGAGAGATTTAGAGAGAGAGACTGACACACATTCAAAAAGGTCAAATTCAAGATTAGGTAGTACTATTCAAGATTATGGTAGAAAAGGGAAGCAGGAGGGGAAGCGGCGGACTGACTCGTCTCTCTCTCTGTGTGTCTCTGTGTGTGTCTCTCTCTCTGTGTGTCTCTCTGTGTATCTCTGTGTGTGTGTCTCTCTCTGCGATTCTCTCTGCGTCTCTCTCTGCGTCCCTCTGTGTGTCTCTGTGTGTGTCTCTGTGTGTGTGTCTCTCTCTCTCTCTCTGTGTGTGTGTGTGTGTGTCTCTGTGTGTGTCTCTCTCTCTGTGTGTCTCTCTGCGATTCTCTCTGCGATTCTCTCTGCGATTCTCTCTGCGATTCTCTCTGCGTCTCTCTGTGTGTCTCTCTGTGTGTCTCTGTCTCTCTCTCTGTGTGTGTCTCTCTCTGTGTCTCTCTGTGTGTCTCGCTGACTCACTCTTCGTGTCTCTACAGAGGTCTCTATCTCTGTCCGTCCGTCTGTCCATCGATGCATCAGACATCTCCTCTCTCCCTCTCACTATCTATCCCTCTCCCCCCCTCTCGCTACGCCCTCTCCCTCACTCACTCCCTCTCACTCTTCTTGTCTTTCTGTGCGTTTGTGTGCGTCTGTCGGCCATCTCGTCGTCTGCTTGTTTTGCCGTCTCCGTGTCAAGGGCCGCGGCCTTCCTCTCGACTAATACATGCTAGCGGATAGACTTTCCGACACGCGTGCATCAAAGTGCTTTCCTGCCCTTTGTCAACATTCATCACCCGCATCCTTCCTTCCCTCTCCCTCTGCCCAGACCATGGGTTTTAAGTTTTTATTCGTCTCAAATTCATGGAATGGCCCGCAGATCGCAGCGCCCAGCAGTGCATGGTAGCGCATCACAATCTACGGCAGGATACAAGGCTGCGGCCATGCGCGCTCGCACGTCATATGTTTTTTTTTTTTTTTTTTGTGTCGCTTTGCATTCGACGATGCTCTCCGGTTAGTGCGAGCTTCGTATCGGAACTTGGGCGCTGCGAATGCAAGCGGGCGCCCTCTTTCCTTCTTTTTCTTGTTGCGGCGCTGTCGCCGCCCTTGAACATGGCATCAGCTATGCACGAGCGTGACGGGCCTCCTGGCCACCGGGATCACTGCCGCAGTCCCTGCTGATGCAGCGTGCCCTAGCGAGAGGTGGACGAGTGCACAAGTTTGGCTCAAGCGCATCAGTAAAAAGGGTTGCACACTGTACCAGCTTCTTAACCATTCCTCCGGAGAGAATGAAGCAGGCACGAGAGGTCGCTGGCCTTGTTGGGCTGGCCCTCACTCTCATTTGGTACAACACAACGCCCTCTCCGTCCGTCTCCGCTGCAGTCCACATGTCCCGTGTCCCGATATGCTCGTAACAACACTTTTTTGCCAATGTCAACTTACACAAAACGTGTTTATTACTACACGAAGTACCATTGTTAACATGAAGAAAACTTCATGAAATAGATAAAGTCCTGCGGTTACTGGTATTGAGACATGCTTCCATAACGTAAATACTTTCACCACAATACATAATACGACTCATTAACAAAAATGCACGAACCAGAGACTTTTCTGCATTAACCGTTAACAAAGTAGAGTCATACTGCGCATGTCAAGCCCTTTGTCAGACTTTTGTTTTCTTCAAATGTTGCCCCAATGAAACCTCTGAAAGGTTCAGAATCATTGACAGCGTCTCTTGTCTGCCGTTGAATATCAGCGTGTCTTGATTCTCGTTCAGTGACAACTCTCTGAACTCAACCCCTTGCACGGCACCATCTCTTGCCACATTGTGTCAAATCTACGATACCTACCACCCGGCCACGCTGTCACACACCAAGGATGTTGCTCAAGGTGTAAGCAACGTAAAACCGTCACACGTGTGAACGCGTCCAGACTCACCCCACTCCAATTTTTTCCCATCACTTTCACACACAGAGTGTCTCTCTCAGAACCTCGCTGCCTACCCTGACGCTCTGCTCACCACTGCATTTGCAAGCCAATTGGGCGAAAGAATTGAATCAGTCAATGCATACCTCTGCGCTTTCCTTTGCGGCCGGACTCTCTCTCTTACCAGACGGCTCCCACTCTGTACCTCTTGTACCTTTTCCTGTGGAATCGTCAAGCTCTGTTTCCAACGCAGCAATTCTTGTCCACCTCTATCATTACCTCGGGACCTTTAATAGTCTCTGAATTTGCGTTGCCATCTCCCTTTTAGAGTTTCCATCTATTCGCCCATTCTCTTCAAAGTAGTCGTGGTCATTTCCCTCCCTCTTGAAAATTCTTCACCCATCCCTTCCTCTCTGCCACTACTCCCTCTCTCTCTCTCTCTCTCTCTCTCTCTCTCTCAGCATTTCTCTCTCTTGTGTTGTGTAACACACACTCTCTCTCCAAAACTCTCTCTCTCTCGAGTTTTTTTTTCTCTCTCAAACGGCAGCGCCTCTAGTCGTTCAAGGAACGCGCGCACAAGTGCTCCCGTGGACTACAAGGATACGGAGCCCGTGAATGCGTGTGCGTGCATTTGGGTGTGCAACTTGCTCACAGGAAGACAGTCCGACCGAGGTTTTTTTTTTTTTTTTGGCAGGCGCGTCTTTCTTCGAAGTATCGCCACGCGGGTCATTCGAGCGAAGTCAGAGCTCTGACCGAGGAACAGTGGCAGTGATCCTTCACCCTCCCCGGCGGGCGAAAAGGTTTTGAGGCACCACAAGTGCCCGGCCATGGTCGGTGTTGCCGCCGCGACGGCTGCCGGTCGGCGGTCGGGTCGTGGCGGGGGTAGACGGTGGTCAACGCCAGTTTGGTGGGTGACGGTTGGCCTGTTATTGCTGGCCAGCTGTTCAACCCCGACCAATGGCGATGACGACGCCGCCGCCTTGAACCTGGCCCTGAAGAGTTGGGAAGATGCCTTGAATGCACAATCTCTCGACAGTCTCACGGGCGACGCCATCTCTTGGTCATGGCTGCCGGCCGCTTGTAACGCCTTGCCGTGCGTCGCCAACAGCACCGCCATCCTTTCCCTGGCCTTTAATGCCTCCACTTACACGGCCCAGGTGCGTCAAAGCTCTCCTTCAAGACCCAGCCCCTCAAGCCTGGATCGCAGGCCTTCCAACACTTCAACGCGCCCGCCCGCGCGCACACACACACACACACACACACGCGCGCATATTCTCCTCACCCCCTTTTTTGCCTGCACCTCGTTGTGCCCGTTGCAGGTCCAACGCTCCTTGGTTATTAGCGCCTGCACTGGCAACACCCAAAAAACCTGCCAATTGCTGCAGGCCCAGATGGAGCTGTCGTTCGCACTCGCCACGGCTCCCTACACGGGCGCGACTGCTATTGTCAAACTCAACGCCCATGCCGCCGGCGACTGGAATGCCCTCACCGACAGCCCTCCCTTCCTGCAAGGCCACCTCTGGGCCCGCGGCCCAAGCGCCCTCCTCCTCGACATGGACCTGCGCGACGGGACCCAGTTTTACACCACGCCCATGGCCACCCAACCCGTCAATCCCACGCCCTTGGAAACGCAGCTGGCCCGCGCCATGCTCACCCCCACGCGCCTCCACGGTCTCGACGCTTCCACCACCACCGCTTGGCATTTGCGCCCCGTCTTTCTACACGCCTTGCATGCACCCATGTCCACGGAATGTTACGGCCAAAGCAGCAGCGGCTTGGACCGCCTCTGCCGCTCCTCCTTGGAATGTGCCGACCCCAACTCCTGTCCCAGCATCCCGGACGCCCTCCTCTACGAGGTGGCGCATGCCACTCCGGCTTGCTCCAACCCCACCCTCGTCCCCGAGGCCTTTGGGGCGCGCGCCACCGTGGCCACCGCCGTCACAACCGATGCCGCCCTTCTCCAGGTCGTCGGCGTGCACAGTCAAACCTGGGCCACCATTCGCTGCGCCGAGGGCGACCTCCTCCTTGACCTACACCTCTCCACCCAAGGCAACCACCTCCAAGTCACAGCCCATAGCGACCTCGTGACCGGCAACGACCAAGCCTTGTGGGCCTTTGTCAACCGCATCCCTGCCAACGTCTCTGGCCATCTTCGTGGCCTGCTGTTTCCCACCCCAGCCGCCTCGAGCGACCAAGCCCTCTTCGCGCTCCCCTACAGCCTCAACGAAGCCGCTGAGGGCGGAGCCCTCATCCCCGTGACCGCCGCCACCACCTTGGATACTGCCCCGGCTGCTGCCGTGTTCAACTCCCTCCTTACCCGCGCCCTCGACACTGGAAACACGTATGCCAATGCCATGCTGGCGGCCCACCTCGGTCCAACGGTCATCCAGCCCCTCCTCACCCAGTACGCCGGTCTACGCAAGCATCCGCATACGCCCGGCGCCATTGCCTACGTGGCCCAACGCCTAGGCCTCCAAATGTACATTGATCACACGGGTCAGCGACTTGTCGCCCAGATTGGTCTTCATCTCACTGCCACGGGCGCGCGCCTCGACGCCAGCGTCGACTTTTCTCGTGTTCAAGCCGCCGTCGCTGACAACTTCAGAGGTTACATTGACTACTTCAGCTTTCCCGAGGCCTGGGAGGAATACTACTACGAGAATAAGCTCGACGGCGCCACCACCGCCCAAAACGATCTCTTGGTCGCCTTTATCGGTCGCCTCGACAACTTTGCCGCCAATCCCAACGCTTGGGCTCTGGATGCCCCCTTGCAGTGGCACATGCAGACAGTGTCTCAACAGGACTTTGATCGCAACGAGCGCTACTACCCTGTCTTTCTCACGGTTGCCGTCAAAGCCGTCACCGGCAACGTCGACGAAAACGCCGTCCACGTTCGCTACACGCCCAACAACTGTGACAACTGCCCCCGGGACTGGCCCATGTGGTGGAGCGAGGAAATGTTCTGCGTCTACTGGAACGACTACTGGTGGTGGTGGTGGGACTTTGAGTGGACCAACGAGTTCCTCCTTGAGCACTATCGTGACAATCTCGAATACCTTCAGCAATACGTCTTTGAATACTTTGCCGTCAGCCAAGCCGCCAACGTCTTTGACATTGTCGTTGATCAAGCCAACGTCCAGGGTGCCCTTGCTGCCCTGTTGGCAGACATTGGCAACGTTCGATCAACCCTCATGAGCGACGTGGCTCACCGCTTTGATGCCACGCTCGGTGCTTGGACCTCAGACCTCGACAACGTGCTCGTCTATGGCCGCTCCTCCTACAATGACGGCTTTTTGCTGACCATCAACTCCGTCTCCCTGCATTGGATGTCCATGAGCGGCGATCGCATCGGCACCCGCGACGTTGTCGGCACCGCTCGCCTCCAGCTTCCCACCCTTCTCGTCACAAACTCCACCATGCGCCTTGACTTTCGCGGCTTTGACTTTGACTCCCACCTTACCGGCAACACCCTGGCCACCCACCTGGCCCTCCCCGTGGCCAAGGACATGATGCACGGGATTTCTCGCAACAGCTCTTACCAGGCCCGCCTCGACATCCACTCCTACTCAGATCAGGACATCATCAGCATCGTCGATGCCGAGGTCAACGTCCGTGTCGCCCTGACCACCGACACCAACACCACCCTGACGGGCGCCATCGACAATCGTGCCTCTTCCAACGACGCCTCCAGCTTGTGTAAGAACGACCCAACCGGCCCCCTGAGCACCGCCACCTGCTACACCCGCGCAAACAGCGCCACTTCGATGGTTTGGTCCTCTGACACGGACGAACCCCACTCCGCCAGCCAGGCCTTCCTGCATGACCTCCTCAGCCAAAGCCTCGTCCGCCTGGTGCCTGATGCTCTCCAACATGTGGAAGCTCCAGCCCCAGGTCTCGTCAATACCTTGACCAACCTCTCTTCCTACGCCGCTGACTTTGGCAACGTCTCCCTCTGGGCCCTGCAGCCGCTCTCCATGTCCAACCTCGAGGTGGCGACCACGGAACTCGTTTGCCCCGCCGGCAGCTATGCCAAAACGCTCGGCCTCAGCGTCTCGGTCAACGGTCGCCCGCTGACCAACTGCACCATGCCCATGACTTACGGCAGCCTGGAGGCCGCGTCTGAAGCTCTCAACAACGGCCTTGCCGATTGCGATCTCGATTGGCTCCTGGATGTCGTTCTTACCAAGGTGCAGCGGAATCAGGCCAAACAGCTTTGCGGCCAATTTACTTTGCGTACCCTTGGCACTGGCGGCGCCTACGCCGTCACGGTCTCCACCTACACCCAGAACAGCCCCGTGTTTGATGGTCAAACTTCCTTTCAGCGCGTGGCCACTGCTGGCTCCCTCACCGATGCTGCTTACCTCTACCAGATGCTGTACCAACCTGACCTGACTCGTTACTACAAGCCCCGTACCGAGAGTCTGGATCTGAGCCAGTTTGCCCCGGATGACCTAGCTCCCGCCGCCCTGCGCTCGCTGTTGCCCGCGCGTCTTCCTGCCTGGCGCAGTCACTTTGAAGCCTGTACAGTCGGTACCGTGCCCAGCAACATCAACGCCACAGTCGCCGCAGGCAACACTCGCGTGCGACCTGCCACCACTGCTGCTGTGGTCTCCCTTCATCAATGTGTCAACGTCTCTTACGGCATCGTCTATCAAACGCCCGACCTTGCCGGTGCTGAGACCCACGATAACGTGTCCTGGTATCGCCTTGAGACCAACTTTACCAACGCCACGCAGCTGCAAGAGCCAGTCAGTTCAGACGGCAACGAGTTTGTCATCGTCGTGGCCGCTGAACGCCGCGTCTGCTCAAAGCTGGCTGGCGAGTTTTGTGAGCCCGGCGCCTTGACCATCACGCCGCTGTCGGCCAACGTGCACGTGGTCTTGCCCCTCAATACGGGCGCCACTGTTCAGTCTGCCCTGCTCGCGGCCATTCCCCCGGCTCTACCGGCCCCGTTTGCCAGCATGATCAACGTCTCCGTAGCTCCTGCCAACCCTCGGTTTGCCGACTCCGTTGCGCAAGTCGTCCTGGACTTTGATGGCGTGCAGGAAGGCGAGAACGCATGGGTCATTCCCACCGTTATGGGTGTGCAGCCAGTGACCGCCACCGCCTCGCTAGCCTACTTTCACCCGCATCTGTACAAGCCGTTCTTTTCCGCCGCCATCCTTCACCAGGCTGATGTGCGGGTGGACGGTGTTCTAGCTGCCGCCTTTGATGGTCCCGGTGATATTGGCATCATCCCCAGCTCCTACTCCGGGTGCCAGGCGCACACCAACTTCAACTTTGCCTTTGGTCTGGTGCCCACCGTGGCCACCACCACTCAATGCCTGGCCAGTCTGCGCCAGATGGCCACGTACCCTGAATACTTTGAAATCGAGGCTGCAGCTTCTGGTACCGTGACGGCCGCCAACGTCACCATCAACGTTGTGGAGCAAGGCGAACAAGTGGAACCCGAGCTCATGTTTTCGGTCAATGCGGCCGGCAGTGCCTCTGACAGCACCAGCCTGCAGGCCTTACTTGTTGATCTTGGGACCCTCAACGCCACGTTTCAAGGCCCCACCCGCGCTCTCTTTGAGCGCCTATCTTTGGAAAACGCGACTGAGTTGTGCGAGGAGCTAGATCTCCTTGCGGACCTGGATGCTTCCATCCGCGCCATCCCGGCCTTACAACACCCCCTTGCCATGGTTGACGAGAGTCTTCTCAAGCTCTACAACCTCGTTTTCGAGGACAAGATCGCGCGGCTTCAGCAGCAGTGCTCCCAGGGCCAGGTGCAGGATTTGCGCCAGCTGTGCGACCAGTTTGCATCCGTCTTTGGCATCAATGTTTGCCAAGCCATCGTCCTTCGTCCGGAAGAGGACCTGGTCACCGTCGACCTGGCCTTTGCGATCAACAATGCGACGCTGCCCGCGGGCCTCGTCTTTGAAACCAACGAATTGTTCCACCTTACGCCGCAGCCAGCCGAAGGCAATCTGACCGGCAATCAGACGCTTCCCCTCGGTGAGGGCGAGACAGACCACCTGACGCTCGTCTACAGTGGCACTTTTCACTCACAGCTTGTGTTCAACTTTACCGACGCCACGCTGGACACGCTGCAGCTGCGCAACACGACCATGAAGCTGGCGGTGAATTATGATATCAAGGGCGACCAACTTTTGTACTTTGGCATGCTGCCGATCCAATTTGAGCGCACCTCTGCGCAACTGTCGGCTGACCTCCACGTTCATGCCGCTGTTGGTGCCGTGTACGAGTTGGAGGCGCTCAATGCATCCAGCCACTTTACGGCTGAGCCGTCCATGGAGCTGGCGCCAGACTGCTTCGTCGACATTCGCACCGACTCTGAGTACTTGCTGTCCAATGGTGCCCGGGGCATTGAGCTGGAACAGATCCTGTGCGGTGATGGCGGCTTTCCTTGGCGCTTGACCGACATGCTGCACCGCCATGACATCGTCAGCTTTTTCGCCGACCCCGCGCGGCTGGTAGCGCAAATGCAGCGCCTCTCCGAAGTGGGCCCGCGCGTGCTTTATCAAGCTGGGGGCGCCTTTAGCGATGGCGTCGAGCTGCCTTTGGTGCAAAACGACTACGATGCTCACATCACCAAAACCTTGGCCGAAATAACGGGACCTCAGACGCAGCAGGCTCTCACGGAAAACGCCAACCGCATTGTGCAGGTCATACAGAGCCTGAATCAGACGATCCTCAATGACGTCTATAAGCTGCGCCAAATCATTCTGCAGGAAATCACCGACGCCCTCTGCAAGACTTTTACTCCCTACCTGCTCTCCGGCTGCCCGCCGCCTCCAGTGGCCATGCCCGACTCGTACAGCTTTCAACTGTGCGCCGATGTCTGCACGTGGGATTTTGTCTTTGGCAAGGCCAGCACGGTGCAGCACACACACGTGCATAATAATCTGGGTGGCTTGCGCTTTCTGCACCTGCAGTCAACAGACACAATCACGTCTGATGTGTCCCTCAGCATGCCTGTACGTCTTGGCCTGACGCAACACTTTGGTCTGACCTTTCAGTTCCTCTCCGATCCTGCTGTCATCTTCTCTGCCGATTTGGGCATCAACGATTTCATGACCGGCCGCCTGGCATTCTTGGGGGCCGACCTCCACGTTGACGCAGGCCTCTCCGTCATGTTTGGTGTCGGCGCCACGAGCGGCACGCCGCCTTCGGACGTAGCCGCTGCGCGCCAGCAAGCACGGGGAGGTGCTGAAGCCGAGGCAGCCGTCGCCGATCGGCGCCTGCGCCGTTCAGCCGTCCCACAGGCGCGAACGCGCCGCAATACCGTCGAGGTGGTGGACGATCTCCTGCATCTACTCGAGGGCACTCTCTCCTCATGCACGGGGCTTCAGTTCTCGGATGGCTGTCGCACCAACCTTACGGCCGTGCTGGAGCAGGACGAACAGCGGGTTGAAGACATCTTGCATCAAATTGACGTGGCAGAGAAGAGCTTTGCGTCCATCAACATGCCCGATCTGACGGATGATCTGCCAGCCGATCTCGAAGCTCTGCGCACTGGCGTGGTCACGCCCATTTTTGCGGGCTATCAGGCCCTGCGCACTGCCTTTGGCGATGTCCAGGCCGTTGTGGATTCGGTCAAGCAGCTCGAGTGTGAAATTTCACTCCCCAAAGAAGGCTCAGTCAAGCCCAGTTACCAGGCTGCTGGCATGCTTAAAATCATCCGCGGTGGCTTGGCCAAAACTGGCCAAGACGCAGCCCATGCTGTTCAGGGTGACGGCACCCGCTTGGCCGTGATGTTGCTGTCCAATCCAAACATCACGTCGGATGAATTGCACCAGGCGCTGACCGCCATGGGTGGCGAGCTCATCAACCTCATTGTGACGGATCTCGTAACCACGCTGCTCGAGATGCTGGATCCCGAAGCCGCCCTGCCCTTTTTTGCCTGGACCCTGCTGCGCGACACGCATCTCGCCTCGGAGGTGCCACTCATGGTTGAGGACCTTGTCAAGGCCTTTGAGGACGACGATTGGTTCAGTGGCGGCAAGGGCCTCATGGAGCTTCTGATGATCCTGAGCCCAAACTTGGCTCGCAAGTGCCAAAGCATCGAGCATGACTTGGAAGATATCAATCGGGATACCAACCTGCGCCGTCGCCGCTCTTTCAGGACGAGCGCCATTGCTGAGTCATCTTCCAGCTCCTCGAACATGCCCGACGAGTTCATGCTCAAGTCAAAGCAATATTTCCAAGCCGATGCACGTCTCGGCTTTGTGCAGCAAAAGGCGCTAAGCACCAACCTGCCGTACTTGGAGGGCGAATTTAGTCTGACCTCCAACGTGACAATTGGTCACCCCTTGGCACCGCCAGTCATGCACACCAGCTTGGCTCTGCATCTCGGGGCCTACTTCACTTACCTACAGCAGGTGCTGTGGGACAAGTTGGAAAAGTATCTCAAGCCAGCTCGCGAGGTCTACGACATTTTGAATACCCACCTCGAGCTGCTCCGTTACCTCGTCGGCCGGGCTTGGACCATCGCAGAGCTTCTCTCCAAGCTCAAGGCCAGCACCCACTCTGCCATGGTCAAGGCCATGATCACCTTTATGGATCGCTTTGATTCGATTGAGAAGGACCTGATGAAGGTTGAAAACTTGGTGTATTCTCTTTCCCAGTACCCGGCGGTGCTCGACCTCGGCAACTTTAGCTTGAACTACGCTCTGAGCTTGTTGAACCGGACCGTTCCCTCGTCTCCGATTCCGCAGTTCAAAAACGATACAACCCCAGACGGAATCAAGAATATGGTGACACAGCAGCTCAGCGAGTTTCTCGCACGCGGCATCAACCCAAGTCCCGGCGCCAGCTTTTGCATTACCTTCCCCTTCCTGCATCATCTTGAAACCATCGCCGAGGATTTGCTCCTGGGTAACGAAGTTCCCTATGACCTCGTGTCGCTTCAGCTTCCCTCCTTCTCCTTGGGTTCAAGCGTACCCTTTGGCCCTTACATTGTTTGGAGTGTTCCCCTTGTCATGGTTGAGGCGGCACTGGACATTGGTTTGACCGTGCAACCCATCCACCTCTCACTGCCATTCTCAGCCCTCACCACCGCCGTTGCTTCACGCGACCCTGCTCAGTTGCTGGAACGCTTTGGCATGCGGGTCAAAGACGACGCGGGACGACAACTCTACCCGCTGTCGTTCTACGTGGGTTTCGGGGTGCAGGTTGATGTGAGCGTGCTCATTTTCAAGGGCTCGGTCGGCCTGGGTTTGCGCGGTACCATCAGTTTCGGCCTCAAGGACGTTGAGGGCACGGGTATTCTTGAAGTGGCCGACTTGGTGGCCCTGGTGAAGGCCGGTGGTAACCTGTTGAGCCTGGTCACGGGCGTGGCCGAGTTGGATGCCTTCCTGACCGCGGGCATCGAGGCCTGTATCCCCATCCCCTTTCACGAAATGTGCTGGACCGTTTTGAAGTGGAACCACTACTGGGTTCTGTATCGCAAACCGTTCTGGACTTCACAGCCCATGCCTGTAATTTCGAGCGCAGGCGCCATCAACCCGGCCGCCGCCCTGTTCACCAGCGACAGCGTGCTGACCGTGCAGGTTACCACCGTCGGCTCTGGTTTGACCAACGTGCAGTTGCGCGACACTGTCAGCCCCGGCTCCGAACCTACAGACCCCGTGCGCAGCCGCACGCTCAAGGCCGGCACGCTCTCTTTTGCTGGCAACAGCTATAACGGCAAGGCCTTCAATATTCTAGTGGCTGGCCTGACGAGCACTCTGCGCCTGCCTGCGGGCAATCTCTTCCATGTCCTCATCGACCTTGAGGCCTACCCCACGGCCCCGCAACTCGCCTTCACTGCCGCAGGAGTGGCAGCTACGGGTACATTTTCCCTGCTGACGCAGTCAAATTGCGGCACAATGCTCGTGCAAAACGTCCACGTGGCCAGCACCTTTGCCGTTTCGCGCCTATGGTGTCCCGTGACGATCGAGAGTATCTCCTCGAACAACGTGACGCTTCGTGGACAAGCAGGCTCTGATTTTGTGGCCGCCCACCCCTTGACCGTGTCCGATCTGCAATCGTTGGATATCAACGTGGAAGACACCGCCTTTGAGATGACGGCCGATGCTCTCACGTCTTCGGCGGGTCTGAATGTGGTCTTGTCGACAGCCGACTTCATCTCCGCGCTTCGCCTTCTGGGTTCAAACCTGCACGATACCACTTTTATCATCACATCGGTGCGCCCCGAGACCTCGACGCAAGTAGTTGGCCAAACTCAAAATGACAACTTTGTTGTGCCCGCCTTTGACACGCTGGCGGCACCGGTCCTGCTTAACGGTGGTCCGGGCGAGGACGGCTGCACGCTCACCCTGACCGCCGTGGACGGCAGCTCGACAAACATCAGCACGGAGACGGTTGCACATGAAGTCAACAATTCGGCTCGCTACGCATTTACGCGTAATATTGAAGTGCGCCTGTTCAACGTGCACCTCACGGCTGGAGCACACTACCGCACCTTCTTGAACTCGGTCCGAGCTGGGCAAATGACACTGCTCAACCTGGTGGCCTCGACGCAGAGCACATCTGAACACCGCGTGGCCGCGAGTGCTTTGGGTGCCCAACTCAAATACGTCGTGACCGGCTCTGGTTCACACGACTTTTTGGTGGGGGCCGATGGCTCCTTGGTCGACCATGCAGGCACAATCATGTTAACGGGCGATGCCACACCAGACCAGACCGTGACGCTGCGCGTGCAGGCCCAGAGCGACCCTCGTACGCTTCAGTATGAGTTGCGTCGGAACATGTTGACGGTCGTGGACACGGCGAGCCCGGCCGAGGATATTTTCCGCCTGTCTTTTGCGCACGTGGACTTGCTGGTGCTTGAGCTCAATGGACAACTCACCATTGATGACGAGTTGGACGTGTCGCAATATGGCACTGAGGTACATATCATCATGGCCAACCACACGGATAACGTGCCGGAAGAGTTCATTCCCACGCGCCGGGTCTGGCGCAACGATGTAACAGTTTTGGGCACAAATGCGCCGATCTTGATCCAAGGCATGGTGCATGGCGTCACACTGGGGCCCAATCCTTGCGTGACCAGCCTCGAGCCCGGCTGTGACTGCAGTGCCGGCGGTCGCTGGTGCTTGACTCATCCACTCAGTGCACTTCGCGCCCCTGTGATTGTTGAGGCCGACGGGTCCACGGGCTGGACCTCGTTGGTCCTTCAATCCGGCTCGGCTGGTGCAGCACCCGACCAGTTTACGCTGGTGCAAGAGAACCGCGTCTACCAAGCCCTGCCCAACGGCACAGCCTGGCAAGTGCGTGCTCCTGCTCTGTCCACCCGCTTCTGTGCCGGCTTGTGGAATCCAGCTCTCTGTGCGGGCGCAGCACCTTTGCGCTTGGGTGCCAACACGGCCGTACGCCTGCTTGGTGGAGGCGGTGCCGATCGAGTGTTTGTGCTCGACACACCCATGCCCATTAGCTTGGATCTGCGCAGCGGGGAGGATAGTTTGCACATGCAGAACGTGACCAATGTCACGGCCACTCTTGGCGAGGGCTATGATGAGGTGACCTGCACCTTCCCTTGCTCTGGTGCCGTGGATCTTGGTGCCGACATGAACCACGTGCGCCTCGCCCCGGCAGGGAACGGCGTCATTCAGAGCGCTGACACAGCTGACCCGAGTGCCATCCGCTTCTTTGAAGCTAACGCCGAGGCCACGAGCAGCAGTCTCGTGGTCTCCAGCGTCGTGCCGGGGGACGACATTGAAGTGGTCCCGCACATTGAACCCTGTGCAGCATGCGCACAGCAGTTGGCCAGTGCCCCGCTGCCAGCTGGATTGCCGGACCCGGTGCCCTCTTTTTCACCCACCGTCACCATGGCCGACATTTTGGTCGCGCCGACCAGCAGCGATGGCCACACGCACGTGTACGTCGTGGATGGATGCAACAACATGCCCTTCCGGGCTGTCGTGCCCCGCGCAGCCGGCATCCACCGCGTGGAGCTGCCCGCGGCTTTGGACCTGACCTGCGCCATCTCGTTTAACGGCCTGACCTATCAGAATCAAACGAATGCATTGATTTTGAGTACGTCTAGCAATCCGAGCACTGTTGGCGCCAGTGGCATTTCCGACCTGCATCTTATAGCTGACGAGGACGCCTGGCACGTGCGCAGTGCCAGCCAGCGCAGTTTCTTACGAGTGCGGGTGGCGCACGTGGCACAAGTGCGACTGGAAGGCCCGGTACCGGCACAAGCTCTCCTTGAGATGGGCGAGGTGGAACCTATGACCAACACGATGGTCAACTTGACGGACGCGGCTTCGGTGTCAGCGTCGCGGCGCACAATGCGCGCCGTCGCTGCAACACCCCCGCGTCGTCACATCCACGTGCGCGGCACGACGGGGCCCACGCTTGTCACGGGCGCGGCCTTTGACACCGTCGTCGTGGGCACGCCCTCACACCCAGCCAACCCTCTTGATCCTTTGTCCCATTTGTACAGCGTGCTGGTTCTTCATGGCAGCGCACCCGTTATTGTGGCCGTGCCGGGAGCGGTGGAGGACTACGCGCCCGACCAAAAACTGCAGGTGGCCGGTGCTTGCGTCGGTGTGCCCGATGGAGCAGGTGGCGTTCGCCCGGCTTCAGACCTATTGCAGCGGTACCCGACGTCCACGTGGCTGTGTGATCAGCTTGAGGCTATTGGTTTGAGCGAGCTCTGCAACACTACCTGCCCGTTGAGTGTGGTGCAACCAGCCGAGCTTTTGATTCAGACTGGTGGCGGTCGGGACGAGCTGCACGCTGTGGGCTGCCGCGCCGACCTTAGCCTGAGCGTTGTACAAGGCGGAGGCAAGGACATTGCCACCATCAGCAACTGCACGGGCCCGATGACCGTGGATCAGGGCCCCGCCTCGGACGACGTGGCCTTGCGGGCTCCATTGAGCTCGGTGACCGTCAATCAGGGCAACTTGGTGGATAACCAATCGCATGTGGGCAACAACTTTTATGCCACGTTTGGCTCGCCCGTTGTCATGGACTCGGCCAACACGATCAAGGCCGGGGACACGGTCATCCTGTATGCGGAGCCCTTCAACGACAACGACCTGGTGGAGCTGCACTACGATCCTTCACTGCCGGCAGTGGCAGACAACGCCACCTGCGAACACGAGGTCGTTCACAGTGGGGGCGGCTTTTCCCTGGATTGCGTGAGCAACACAGTCTATTGTCTGGGGCCCATCGATGAGGACTCATCGCTGGCCCTCAATTGCGAGGGCAGCAGCAACGTGACAATTCAGCTGACGCTCACGTCGGCCGATTTGGACAAGACCTCCACCATTCAGGTGCATGGCGGCGCCAACACGACGTTGGACGTGAGCACGGCGTCTGATCTCAGCGTGTGGACACGGGCTTACACCGACTATGGTCAAATCAACTTGGGCAGCACGTTCAAGTTCTTGGTGTCACAGCTGACCAACTTGCGCGTGTCTGCCCAGAAGCTGGACATGACGGGCACCGCCCTGGCAAGCAATGTGGCCCTGATTGGCGAGAGCCAGCTACAGGTCGGGGACATTGAAGCGCTGGACGCCAACGCGCTGCTGCACAACTGCATCGACTGCAACTTATCTGCGGCTTTCTGGAATGCCAGTGGACCGACCGTTGTGCTCAGTGGCAGCGCCACCGCTCTAAGCACGGGCAATCCTTTGGGCCCATTGAGTCTTAACGAGCGGTGTCTGGCTAGCAACACCACGCACACGCCCGCCATGCCTTGGCTACTTGCGTCGCAGGCCCAGGAGCTTGGCTTTACAGCCATTTCCGGATGCCCTGTAACAGTCAACGGCACGAGACGAGTGGGATTGGCCGTGACGGACTTGACCGGTGTGAACGTAGGCAAGGCCACGGCCTATGTGGCGGTGCAAGGCCTTGGTACTGCTGTCCTCAGCGAACCGGCCTTTACCCAGACACGCACGATTCAAGCGGACCGCCTCGTCGTGGCGAACGTTCTAACGCTGGAGGTGGTGAGCAGCGCGACAGCAGGCGCACGCCCCAACGTGACACTCGCGGGCAATTATTCGACGGTCGTGCTGGCATGTGATGCGCCCGCGCCCAGTGGTGTTGCGCTGCATGTGGCGGTGCAGGCCATGGGTGGTACGCAGACACCAACGAAAGCCACATGGGCAGCCCCTTTCTGCGGCGGCTCCTTGACGGCGCTCGAGGCGCTGAACTTCCGTGTCGCGGGTGCTGGTAACGCGAGCGAGGCCTTGGCCCTGATGGAAATAACACATACACCGCGAAGCACCCCCACCACGCTGGTGACGACTGATGCGCACTGGCCGGTGAGTTGGTCCGTGGGCGGATTTGAGGCTTTGGAAGCAACAGCGACCTTTGGCACCCAGCTCAACGTGTCTACGACGTCGGACAGCGGCACGTCGGTCTTCGCAAGCGCATGGACGCGCGTGACAAGCTCAGCCGCGCACAACTATGTCACAGCCACAGCTGCCGCCACGGTCAACTTTGTCGCCTCTGGGGGCGACACAGCGCCCGACCTGGTGCTGGCCGTTCCTGGGTTGGTCACCAGCTCCCCGGCCGTGATTGGAGGGCGCGTGCTGCTCGTGGGCTGCCAAACTTGCGAGTGGTCTCCCGCTGTCAACAACAGCTGGGTGGCTGCGGTGCCATGGAACACTTCGCAAGCAAATGGCACGGTGCAACTCTCAGACGCCTCGGCAGTGACACTGACTGGTGCTTGCGTGGGCTCGGCATCCCGCACGGACGAGTTGAAGCTGTCCGCGTGGTTGCGCGCGCAGCTGAGCACTCTGGGTGTGACGGAGGCAGCTGCGGCGGCGCCGGCGTGCCCAGCCTACGTGACAGGCATGGCGCTGATGCGGACGACAACAACAAAAACGCTATCGGGCACACGTGTAACGCGCGTGGCGGCACAAATTGATGCCACCCACGCCAGTGCCGTGCATCTCAACGCCAGCGGCAACGTGACTCAGCAAGGTGCTGAGTTGCAAGTGACGACCGCGTTGCCGCCGTTATCGGCCACGCGGGTGCTGATGGGTGCAGCGGCCCATGTGACGCTGTCAATTGCGTCGGAGACGATGCGGGAAGCAGCTCTGCAGCTCAATTGCCTTCAGTCGGCGGATGGCTTTACCGGCACCATCTCGGCCACCTTGGCGCCCTCGACAAGTGGGGCTGCCAACACCGAGGCAACTTGGAAGGCGACGCATGGCTGCTCTGGCACGTTGGGCGTGGGTGCCGATGGTGTCTATGCGCTGGGTTTTGGGCTGGGGCACTCCAACCTGGTTCTGGATGCGGACTGGCTCAACGCCTCGGGTGTGGTGTCGGTGAATCATCGCGGTGCGGTCGCTGTGGCGTTGCCTGAACTACAGGCCGAGGTCGCCACGGCGGGCGTGCTGAAAGCGCAAGCTCTGTCGACGCCGACAGCGACGCGGGCGCCATCTTGGAGCATGAACCTGACATCGGACTTTGCCGGGGTCGTGTTACCCGCGGCGGCCGCCGCCGACGTTATGGCCAAGCCGCAGGTGCAGTTTTTGTCTGGCTTTAGCTTTGTGACGGATGGATCGACGCGCTTGGCTTCGCAGGTGCGGTTCTGGCCGGCCGATCAGACTTTGATTGCGGGGGCTGGGCGTTCGGATAGCGACTGCTTGGAGGTGGCGGACTGCAGCGTAGCCACGTGGGCTGAGATTGAGATTGACGGGCGTGGTGCTTGCCACCCCGAGCAGACGCAAGCCCAGTGCCGAGACCATGCTTCAGCAACGTTGGCGTTTGCCGTGGGCCAGCACGTGGCCTGCCACTCCAATGCCACGCATCTGGAACTAGGTTCCGACGCATCGCAGGGTCAATTCTCGGTGCCCAACGAGGGCAAAGTACGACGCCTGGCCTCGGCGTGTTTTGCGTTGACGTTCTTGCTTATCGCTGGTCTCGTCATTTGGCGACCGGCAGCGTGGCCGGTGGCGCTGGGTATGTACGGCGTTTTGATCGCCATTGGTAGCGCGCTCGGGGAGGGCCTGGATGCACGGCACGTGTTTGTGGTAGAGCTGCGCCACGTGCTGCGTGACTACGGTGCGGCGGAGGAAACTTCGTGCGGTGGTTCGACGCCTCCGGTGGCGGTTGCGGGCCTGGTATTTTTGGTCACGCTGACCATTGTGGGGGCTGGCGTTGTTTTGTATCGCTGGTGGTCTGCCCGAAAGCAGCAATCGGTTGTGGACCATTCCGAAGAGGCCAACAGCTTGCTCGGGGGTGCCGGTGCGACCGGTTCGTTGCGAGTGGTTGCGGCTTCTGGTACCCAAGGCTGGCTGGCCTTTTGGACTAGCTCGCGTCTGTGGTCGGTGGCTTTGGTGGTGTTGCTGCTGTTTGTGATGCCGGCCGCGGCGGTGCACTTTATGGCGGCGGTCTGTGTCGTGCCCTGTTTTGCACTCCTTTGCGGGGCGGTGTCGGCCCAGGACCAGGGCTGGCGCGTGGCGCGCCAGGATCCAGCCACGCCCGTGATGGTGCGCTACGTGCACCTCGGGGCCTATGCGACGCTCATGTTCCTTGTGGGCGTGGCGGCGGTGACGACTTTGCCCGATGGCGCGCAGCCCTCGTCGCGCGGCCGATGGGCAGTGGCCTGGCTCCTTTGGCTCACGGTGTTGGTCCTAGCGTGTCTGGACGCGCTGCGCGGCTTGAGTGCCCAGGCCGGTGCATTCCCGCGGACGCGGGCGGATGTGTCCGTGCCGGTCCTCGCGTCGGCGGCCTCGGTGCTGGTCCTGGGTCTGTGTCTGTTGGGTGTTTTGACGTCGAGCAAGACCACGGCCGGAGGACTGTGCGCGCTGGTTTTGTTGCAAGCCATGAGCCTGGTGGCGCTATCAGTTTTGGCTTGGCGAGCGGTCCCCGCGTCTGGAGGGGCATATGCGCCCATCAGCGAGTCGGCCGGTTCTACGGAGGAGGTCTACGACCCGGTTGACTTTCAGTCCTCGACCGGTGCATCACCGCCGCAACCAGCGCCCGTAGTGGCGACGCGTCACAGCGCCGCCTTGGACACTGACGCCGAGGCCAACGTATCTCATTTGGAGGACTCGAATTGAGGCGCTCCGCGCGAATCGTGTGTGAGCTCGCCGTGCGTCTTGAGATTATTGAGATGCTCCGGCCAATAGCTTTTTTTTTTTTTCCCCCTCTTTTATGTTCGAGTGCAAGCCTATTGCGGCCATTTTGGTCACGATTTTGGGTTTGCCTCGCCTGTTTGTGTTTGTATGTGTGTGCTTGTCCACCGAGTCGATGAGAGTCTGCCTCTAGTTGCGTCCCTTTGCCGCCTCAGCCGATCTGGGCGGGAATGGGAGCCAGAGGCCTTAGGATTTTATTTCTGTCTTGTTTTGTTGTTTTTCTTGAGAGGTGTCCCCGCGCGACTGCGTCTTTGGATCATGAATGAAATTCATTTTGAGTCTCTGACCCTCTTTCATCTGAAGAACCCAACCCCCCCACTGCGACTGCGAGCCTCGACTACTCCTGACGATGGTCACCCTGTGCGATCGATCGATTGCGATTGTACCTGTTCAACCTGCCCGTGCGTGGTGCGTGTGCCTGCGCGTGCGTTGCGCCACAGCTCGCTCTCTCTCTCTCTCTCTCTCTCTCCTCTCTCTCTCGATGTTGCAACCGGTTGCGCAATGGGCAGAGGTGAAGCAAGCGCTGGTTTCGAAAGTCATCAAAGGGCATTGCCAACGTGTCACCCCTATGTGGCAATAGGTGGGACTAAAATGTCTGGCTAATGTTACACTTTACAGCTTGTTAAGTGTAACATATGTCTCACTAATTGTTAAGGGGTTAGGGTTGCGTTTGGGGGCTGACACACACTGTGACTCTCTCTCTCTGTCGCTGGTTCTGTGTCTGTCTCACTCTCTGTGTCTTTCTTTCTCGCTGTCTCTGCCTCTGTTTTTGCTTTTAGTTTGTGTGTAGTTATCTGTTCAGTTTGGCTATTCCTCTTCTTTTTAACGCTCCTCGCTTCGTCTCTCTGCGCTTGGTCGCTCTCCTGCACGCCATCTCTCTGAATGGCGGTCGCCCGATCGGATACAGATGGCGAACAATACCTTGAGTGATCCGAACGTTCCTTGCGCGGTCCGATCCGATCCCCCAATCACGCTCTGCTGACCGGAGCCAGCTCAAGTGTCTCATACCCTCCAAATCCAGCGCAAACAGCCAACATCCGGAGCACAAGATCCGACGCAATGCCACACCCAGGTTTCGCAATCGATGAGGTAGCCCGGTCGGCTCTTGGAACAACTCGCCGCTCGTGCTTGTGCCCTGGCTCGTCGGTCGGTCGTCAATGACAAGAAGTGGACAATGACTATGGCTGTTAGAATCCAAACCAGTCAGTGTCGAGGAAGAGAAGGGGTCCGTCCAGGGCGGCTTCGCCGAACACAAACTCGAGCACGCCCGAGGCACACACACAGACACACACACATATACGACATCAAGCCCATACATGGATACACGCTTCCATAAGCTTTACACGTGCTATTTCTATACTCGAGCGCAGACAACTCCACACATGACGTCAAAGTAAAATATTTATTTTGTCGTTTTCGTGGCTTTTAGAGTTTTTTTTTTTATTTTTCTTGACGTCCAACGTAAGCAAAGCGTGGTCTTTCTGCGACGACTTTAACCGGGTTTGTGGATCCTCGCTGGCGGTCCGGTCCGGCGGCGGCGGCGGCGGCGTTGATCGATCGAAACGGCAGCGCCGTCGTGCGGGTGGCATGGGGGGGAGTGGGTGAGGAAACGTGGGCCTGTGATGGGTTGGTTTGGGTGGGTGGGTTTTGTTTGGAGAGACGTGTATCCGGAGCAGCAGGGGCGCACTCCAAGCACATCAGTGTGTGCGGGGGGCGCACGCCACATTGATGAGGGCAAAGGGCAGCGCCTCCTGTCGCGTTGGCGTACGATCCTGATCCGTGCCGCAACGCCACACCTTGTTGCTCGACTTGTTCACCTCTTGTGCTTCGTGTGTTCCCTGCTCTGTGTCTTGTTCCCTCTCTCTCTCTCTCGCTCTCGCTCTCTCTCTCTCGTCTCTCCCTCTCTCTCTCTCTCTCTCTCTCTCTCGTTTGCCAGCGCGACGAGCGTGTTGCCCGTTGTCGCTCTGTTCATCTTCCTTGGTGGAGCCGTCGTGTGTGTGTGTTGCCCTGTGCTGTTGGTGCGAGACTGGCAGCCTGCCCATTGACGACTCGCCGCCCACCCCCACGCGCCATCCCCTCACACGCCCGCACTCTCTCTCTTTTTTCTCTTTGCGCTCTTGCTCACGCTGTCGTCTCTCTCGCTCGCTCTCTCTCTCTCTCTCTTCTCTCTCTGGGTGTAGAGCTGGCCCGTGTCCCATTGGTTTGCCCATTGCTACTGCCCGTGCGCTTCTCTGTCGGCGCAACGCGTCTGGCTCTTTTGACCAGAAGCTGCTGCAGCTGCTGTTTGACTGCCATCTCATTTCACTTTCAGCAGGTGAGTCGTGCGTAACTCCTCTCGATCACACAACCCTCTTGATGAGACCGATCCGAACCGATATCGACCAACCGACCAACCGACCGAAACCCCCTTTTGCCCTCGCCCTCGCCCTCGTTCTTGCCTCGTTTCTCCCCTCCCCCACCTTGTCCCTTCCCCATTTCTTCTTCACCCCTCCGTCTACCCCGCTCGTCCATTCACCTGGAGGCGTGGCCTCGGACGCCAATCACCTCAAAGCCAACGTCACACTCTGCTTCACCCCACTGACCCCCTCCTCCGGTGTCGATGGCCTTTCCACCCTCTCAAAGCCATTGATCCCCACTCCTCCTCCCCCTTCTCCCGTCAACCCTTTTCCCCCCTTCATGCCCGCCTCCCCGCTGCCCTTTGAGAGAGAGACAGAGACAGAGAGAGACAGAGAGACAGAGAGACAGAGAGACAGAGACAGAGAGAGAGAGAGAGAGAGAGAGAGAGAGAGAGAGAGAGAGAGAGAGAGTTCTTTTGTGTGTTGAGAGGGTTTCTGGTGGTTTCGCACTTTTTGTGGTTTTTGGGGCTAAACCCCCTTTACAACACACACACACACACACTTTTGTTGATTTCGTTTGAAGAGGAGTGTGTGTGTGTGTGTGTGTGTCAGTCCGTTTTTGCTTGCTTCTCATACACACACACAGACAGAGGAGTTGTCACTGTCTCTCGCTGTTTGTGCGTCGCGCGTGCCACGGATGGCGGACGGCTGTTTCACACCGCACAGCCTTTGACATCATATACATCATTCACGTCATACACATCTTGTTGGAGGTGCGAGGAGCAAGAGGAGGTGACCGACGGCGGGGGCGATTTGGATCGATCGCGTGCACGTGTCTGCCTGTGCCCGTGCCCGTGCCCGTGCTGGTTGCATCTCACCAACTGCCATTCTTCTTCTTCTCCCCCTTCTCCTCCTTCTCTTTTTTTTTTTTTTTTTTCTTGTCACGCACAGTCGTCGTCAATTCAAGTGCGACGCTCGGCTCGATGCCTTCTTCGACAAAGCCCCAGAATGGGGCGGTCGGCAGTTCGAGCTCTGCCTCGACCACCTCACCCGGAAAAGCACGCGTGCCCGCCAACATGATTGCCACAACCAAGGCCGAGGGCCTGGTGGCCGAAGGCTTTGGAGCAAGACTCGAGGAGACGGAACTGGACGTTTTCCTCAACGCCTTTGATCGCGAATGCGTCTCCGACTTTGTCTCCCAAATCTCAAACGAGCAATCCTACGATTGCACCACCACCTTTGCCTTTAGCGACATTGTACCCTTTGCCCGCAACGGCTTTGAAGCCATCGTCCACGACTCGTTCACTCAGTGCTTCGAGGTTTGCTTCAAGCCCTCTGCACCTCTTCTCGTGCCAACCCGCTCTTGGTTTTTTTTTATTGTTTATTTTTTTTTCCCTTGTTCTTTCTCTCTTGTTTTGTTTTTCTTTTTTCTTCCGTTTGCTTCTTCGCCGCAATAATTCTCATCAGCTCTCTCCTCGCCCTGTCTGGCACGCTAGGGCCATCCCAAGACGCGATGGAACCAAACGTGGTACTTGGCCTTGGCCTATTACTGCGGCGTCTTTATCCGCTACTGGTGCGCCTCTTGAGACTGCCCCCCATCCCTCGTCCCATGGCCTCAACTGCTTTCTCACTTTGCTTTGATGCTCATCACACTCTCACGCCTGCCCCCACAGCATTCTCTTCCCGCTACGCGTGACCGTTCTGATCCTGGCCATGACAATCTTCATCAACCTCTTCCTCATCTCCCGCCTCTTTCCCGCGACCATCCAGCGCCGCATTGGCCGCTTTGCCATGGGCATTGTCAACAACGCCTTTTGTCAGTGCACCCTGCTTACTGGTCCCACCCTTATCCCTTGCCCTCTGTCTTGCTCTCTCGCTCTCTCTTCCTCCACACACTCTGACCGGGAATGTTGCACCCCAAAACATTCCACGTCTTGTTAGGCTTTGCATTTACAGCCGTCATTCATAAGCATGGAAACATTCCTGCTCGTGAACCTGGACAAATCTACGTGGCCAACCACACCACCGTCCTCGACATTGTCATCATGCTCTCCCACCAAGTGTACGGCCTCACCGGGCAGGGTCATGGCGGCGTCATTGGCTTTTTCCAAAAATACGTTCTCAACTTTGGCACCGACAACCTGTGGTTTGACCGGTACGAATCCCGCCATTCAGAGTTTTCTCGTCACCACTTGACCCTTGATTTGCAACCTCTCATCCCGGCACCAACGCCTGCTTCTTCCCGTTCGCTCTGCTTGTCCCCTAGCATGGAAAGCCGCGATCGCACGACCGTGGCTCAAAAAATTAAGCAGCACGCTGCTGATACATCCAAGGCACCACTTCTCGTTTTCCCGGAAGGCACTTGCGTGAACAACGAGTTTGTCGTTATGTTCAAACGTGGTGCCTTTGACCTTGGCCGCGTTATCGTTCCCGTTGCCATCAAGTACAACAACAACATTACCGACGCCTTTTGGAACTCCAAAAAGACCAGCTTCCCAATGCATCTTTTCCATTTCATGACCTCCTGGGCCCTCATTGCCGATGTCTACTACCTCGACCCCCAAACACGTCGCGAAGGCGAAACCTCGGTCCAATTTGCTGCCCGTGTCAAGGAAATGATGGCAAAGTGCGTCGCTTCTTGAAATCGTCACATGGCCCACTCCTTTGCGTTTGTGCTGTGTAGTTGATACGCCCCATTTTCCACTAACCGGCATGTTTTGTGTTATATCTCTTTGTTTTTTTGTTTTTTTGTTTTTTTTTTGTTTTTTTTTTGTTTTTTTTTTGTAGCGTGGCTGGCCTGAAGAGTGTTCCTTGGGATGGCTACTACAAGTACTTCAAGCCAAAGCCCGAGTACAAACGCCGTCGCCAACAGGTCTTTACTGACCAACTCATTCGCCGCTTCAACCTCACCCCCTCTGGCACCCCCACGACCTCCCGCAGTACGTTGGGCGTCTAGTCCAAGTGACATCTCTACTTTTGTGTCCTGGTGTCTGTCTGGCTCTCGATCGTTGCTCATGATACTTGTTTGTCGCAGGCCCTCAAGGCTCTTTCTCGCTGGGAAAGCTGTCCAATAAGGACCAGCTGAAGCCGGATGAAGCACTGCCAGACCTCAACGATGAGGCCCGTGCCGTCTTGCGTCTTCGCCAGCAGGCTCGCTCCTCCTTGGGCAAACCCGCCTTGGGCCTACACGAGGCAACCAAATCCCGGATCACCGAGCCCCGGCGGCGCGCCATCTCAGAAACCGCCTAAGCAATCAGCATGAGGACTTGCCTCTCTGCCCGCATCAAGCTGGGCTAGCGAGGCCGTTGCTGATTTGCTTTTACCGAGTGCTCCTTCTGAGCCATGATTGGCACATGTCCTTCTCTTCACCTCCTTTCTTTCATCAATATCAGCATGTCCTCGCCCTTTTTGTGTCGAGCCAAAGCTCTGTGCTCTCCTTTTTTTGTCGGTTGGCTGCTGCGCACCAACACGACATGGATATGTTGCGACCGTCGATTCAGCACGCTTTTTATCTTGTGCGCGTTAGCTCAGCACCCAAGTGTGGCTTGGCTACCTTTTTTTGGCCACCATGCTTCCGTTGAGCTGGATGCTGTCAAAGCAACAGCAACAACAACAACACCTCCTGTTCTTTAAACCACCTGTCTTGCTTGTTTGTTTTTCCTGGTTTGTGATTTTTCGTCTCCTCTATGTGTTTATATGTCATGCATGTGGTCCACACACTTTTTGACTGCAAGCCTGTTCTCTCCCACTTGTCCTTGCTTGCAACCTCGTGCCCGTGTGTATTCGAGCGACTCCACTGCCGCAACGGCGTGTCTTCCGCCCCACTTGACTGTGTCGCGTGATGCGGGCCCCTTTGTCATCCGCCCCTTAAATGCGTTTTTTCCACCGTGCTGTGTACGCCAATTCGGGTTGCGATGAAGACCAGAATTTATCCAGAAAGCTGATGATCGAGTGTCGTAGAGGGCATGGATTTGAGCATGTAGGATCCGAAACGCTTGGTTGCATGTGCAAATATGTGAGATGACTTGCAAATTTGAGCATTTGGCGTAGGACCCGATCCACACTACTGGAAATCTTATACAACTCGTTCTGGATCAAAAGATTTTTGCTCGTTAAATGTGCCGATTTTATCCAGCTCTGTCGCTCTGGTTTGGTCATCATGGAAGGGTTCGATCCTCGTTATGGAAGAACGCCATGATGCGTTCACTTTCGGCCAACCTGTTCGGATTCGTTATTCATGATATGAACATCCGTTCGTTATTGGAAAGAAAAAAAAAAAAAAAAAAAAAAAAAAAAACTCGATTTTTTTCTTAAAAATTCGAAAAGCTGTGTCCTCTTCCGCTTTGTTTGTCGACAAGTATTCGGGCGACGCAATTGCGGCGCAAACACACATGCATGCAGTGAAGCAAGCAAATGTCTGGTTCAATGGAGCTAGGACACTGTGTCTCCTTTACACGACATAGCCTCCTTCACCAGAAAGCTGGTGTTTGACCAAGTTGGCGTACACGCCTTGCTTGCGCAAAAGCTCACGGTGAGTGCCCAACTCCACCACCTCGCCCCCATGAAGAACGGCAATTTCGTCTGCCAAGCCAAGCAAGCACAAGACTGGCGTCAATACAACAGCAGTGGACGTGCTCGTCTTACATTACCCAGCTGTCGGGTCACACTCACCGGCGTTGCGAATGGTAGACAGGCGATGTGCAATGACTAGACGAGGGAGGCCGGGCGATGAGCAACCGCGCAAAGTTGGGGAACGCAGAGAGGCATTGCAGGTTGGACTACTACGCTGTCCTCACCAAGCACCGTCTTGTCCTTGGTCAGGCGATCCAGAGCTTCTTGCACCAGGTGTTCCGATTCAGCGTCCATGGCTGAACTCGACTCATCCAGGATGAGGATGCGAGGGCGCGTCAAGATGGCTCGTGCAATCGCGATTCTAGTGCCCATTTCACCTCATGAGTGCTTCATGATAGCAAGAGAGCGCCTGGCAAGTTGGTCATGGGGACAAACAGGGTAGAAGGTCGCCTTACCTCTGACTCTGACCACCACTCAATGTTACACCGCGTTCGCCCACCACCGTGTCGTAGCCTGCCAAATGTACGGTTCAACAAAAAAAAGCGCATCGAGGTTCAGCCAGATCAGATGTGCGCCAGCTGGCCTTGAAAGCCCGGTCTTAACTCTTGTCAATACTACAGACCTTCGGGAAAACCGCAGATGAATTGGTGGGCATTGGCCTTCCGAGCGGCCTCGTAGACTTCCTCAGGCGTGGCATCTGGGCGACCATATCGAATGTTTTCCAGCACTGAGGTGGCAAACAGCACCGGCTCCTGGTTCACGTAGCCAATCACCTTGGAGCTGCAAGGTTAGGCGCGGGACAAAAGGGTGAGTGGCATCACAGGCCGCCCCCCTTATTCTTGGTTCGACAGGCGGACGCACCGGAGCCATTGCGGGTCGAGGGTGCGAATGTCATGCCCGTCCAACATCACAGCGCCTTCAGTGGGATCATAGAAGCGCTCAACCAGGTTAGCAATGGTTGACTTGCCGGCGCCACTGGGCCCACAGAGTGCCGTTTTCTTGCCAGCCTTGAGACGCAAGTCAAAGTGCCGCAACACAGCCTGGTACATGCCAAGAAAAAATAAAATAAAAGAAAATAAAAGAAACAGATGTGTGTTGGGTTTATGATGGGTCCTCTTATGACTGAGAGAGAAAAAACGAAAAACAAAAAAGGGCTAGCATGTGACATCAGGGAGCAGGCACACACCTGCTCTGGGCGCGAGGGGTAGGAAAAGGTGACGCGCACAAACTCAATGTCGCCGTCGACCGACGACAGGGTCATGCCGCCCTGGATATGACATCACAGCTTGCGTGAGGAGCTTGGAGAACCAGGACAGGCGACGCCTATGGCGAGTGCTTTGGCAATGATACCTTGGTTGGGATAATGGGTTCACGATCCAGGTACTCAAAGACACGCGAGCCAGAGCTCGTGCCTCGGACCAATTGGCCAAAGAGGACAGAGGTCTGGGACAGCGCACGCTGAATGGTTTGCGTACACACTAGAAACTCCATGAGATTGCCAGCACCCAGGGTTCCTCTAAATGATAAGTTCAACGCTGGCGTGAGCCTTGCTACGTTTTAGTATGGATGCTCCTTATGGTCGTGCTGGGATGACGTACTGATCCATGAGCTTGCCACCAAAATAAATGACACTCAGCACAAGGCTGTTGACAAAGAGGTTGGAGCCCGCCGTAAAAACGCCAATGCCGAATGCTGCCACATTCCACAAGGCATGCGTCAACGAAGAAGCCAAAACCGATCATTGGGCGACAGCAATCTGTCCTTATGGGAGGAGGCAAGCCAAGCGTACCTAGTTTGATGTACAGCGTGCGGCACTTTGCGGCCAAGCTGCTGTACTCGTTGACCTCACGATCTTCCATGCCAAAGGCACGCACGGTGCGAATGTTGCCAATCACCTGCGGTTAAAAAAAAAGGAACGAGATGTATCAGCGGGGCTTTTTACAGAAAAAATAAAACAAAAACAAAAGAAAAAAAAAAAAAAAAAAAAAAAAAAAAAAGGGCGGAAAAGCCGCGCGGAGTGAGAGATAAGCCAACCTCGCTGGCCGATCCGTTGGCATCGGCCACGATGGCTTGGCCGTCCTTTGACATGGAGCGAAGCAGCGAGCCTGGGATGCAGAGTGTAAGACGATGCTGGAATAGGCAGGCGTTGAGGCATCAATGACGCACCGAGTGAAGTGCCGACGGCAATGACGAGCGGCACAGCCACGGCCAAGTAGCTTGTGAGTTGTGGTGAGACCAGATACATGGAGATGAGGCTGCCAACAGCTTGCAGGCCGTTGCGTAGACCGATGCTGACGACTTGCTTGAAAGAGCTCTACGCATGATTGTTTGATAAGAGTGGCTCGGGTGGCTGCGGGTCCCAGGTTTGTGTGAGTGGTTGGTGTCATTCGTTTGAAAGGTACCTTGAATTCTTGGACGTCGCCGGAGAGGCGGGAGACGATTTCGCCACTCTGGCGCGTATCAAAGAACGCCAAGTCTTGGCGGAGAACTGCATGTTGAAGGCAAAAGAGAGTAGTGTGTTGGTGGGTGAGGGTGTGTGTGCGGGCGCAGCGACGCTGGTGGGCTGCTTGGGCACAGGTCCTTGAAATCGGAGGCCGATGGCAGGCAGCGTACGTGATTCGAAAAGGCGGTTGCGCACACGTTCAGCAAAGCGTTCGCCGACCATGCCAAGCAGGGAGATGTAGACGCAGGTGAAGGTAGCTTGGGCCAGATAGAGCACGGCAAGCTGGAGGGCAGAAGCTCGCATCTCGCCAGGAGCTCGGGTGGTTGTCACAATGTTGACCAGCTGGGTTGGTGGTCGTTGAAGCCCAGGGGTGAGATGTGTGGGAGGCGGGCGGGATGGGAGGGGAGCAAAAGACAGGCGCAAAGGTGCTTGTTTTTGTAGCTGGGACGGGCACTGACTTGGCCAAGCGCCGAGGGGATTTGGACGTTGAGAAAGGCCACGGCGATGGCAGCCAGGACCGCTGCGGCAAGCAAAAACGTATCAGGACGGAGCAGCTCCCAGAACAAGGCCCAATTGAAGCCGCGATCCTCGACAGGGCGCTTTTGGTGGGCCAGGTGGCGAAAGTTTTGCGGGGCCGCTAGAAGCCGCGATGACGGAGCAAAGGCGGTGTGAGCTCTCACCAGAGGGGAGGGAGGGGAGGAATGGAGGAATGGGCTTAGGATCACAGGCGGACGTACATACCCTGGGCCTCGGCTTGACAGCAGACAGCGTTGCAGTGTAAGATGCGAAGAGGCAGGGCTTGTCGCCAAAGCGCAGAGGTCCAGGCAGCCGTAACACTCCCCGACAAGCCTCCGAGGCGCATCCCAGTCGCCATCACCAGCGAGTTGGTCTTGATCGGGCGCAGCCAGGCGGAGCTCGTCGAGCTGATGGCGGTCGTGGCATGCCACCGCCGCCATGGTACCATCACACCATTTCGGATCAGTGCACGCGACGCCGTTGGTACCCTTGCCCGCCCACACTGCAGCAGCAATCGTCCGAGCCACCGCCCGCCGCTTCCACTGACCACTCCCCCCGCCATCCTCTCTCTCTCTCTCTCGCGCGCGCGCTATCTCTCTCTCGCGCGCTCTCTCTCGATTTCAAAAAAAAAAAAAAGGTTGAAGAGAAAAAGGATTTAGAGAGATTTAAAAATGTCATTACATGGACATGTTAGAGAAAGAGAAATTTAAAAGAACGAGAGAGATTTGGAGAGAGAGAGAGAGAGAGAGAGAGAGAGAGAGAGAGAGAGAGAGCGCGAGAGAGATTTCGAGAGATTTGGAGAGAGAGAGAGAGAGCCTGAGGACTTGAAAGGTGTCTGGTGATGAGGGGGAAATGGATTCAGATTGAAATCTAGAGTTGACGATCACGATGTGAATGTGATGTGGACCATAGGGGTTGTTTAAACAGGTGGTGTGGCCTGGGGCGTTGACGTGACAGACGTGGAGTGATTACCTTGGGCTCAAATCGAGGGGAGGGGGTTTGGATTTCAATTGGTGTGCTGATGATGGAGACTACGACCAGGGGCTCGCTACACTCCGTAGCAAGCACTTGCTAAAACGACACATACACCACAGGCGGATACCACAGCACGGGCCAGACCTGGCTCGACCACGTGACGATCACAGAGTTTCCGAGAAAAGACATGCAAAGGAACAGATAAACGAACATCAAGGCATAGAACGGGTCAGCGGAATGGGGCCTTAGTACACGCCGCTGAGGCGGGTTCGGCGAAGAAGCGGTGCGTCATCGCCAGCGTTGGGGTCTCCGTTGACAGGGACACTCGAGAAACGGCGCGTGGCCTCTGAAAATTCGTGATTGACAGACGAGGGCATGAAATAGGCCGCCTCTCCATACTCCACCACGTCCAAGCCTACAGCCCGAGAACCAAATGCCCACACGTGTGAGAGGACAACGCGGGAGAGGTTGTGGCGAGCAACCCGAGCCAACAAACCTTGGCGCTCGACCTCCTCGCTGACGCGCAAGCGACCCATGACCTTGAGTACCCAAAACATGATGCCGCAGGTTGCAGCGGTCCAGGACAAAATCACCACAGCCTGTTGATGAAACACGGAGAAAAAAAGTGGCAGGATGAGCACTAGCGCCAATCTGTTGCTAAGCAAACTTTTGCTGCTGTTGCTGTTGATGTTGACGATGATGATGAAGAGACTGATAAATGTTATTCATCACAAAATGATAGATCCCCAAGGAGAGGGGTGCTGTCAACAGGCACGACTTACGCCGAGGGTGTTCCATCCAAGATGCAACCAGGCGTGCTTGGCGGATGGGTTAAAGACCAGGCCATCTTCCGAAGTGAAGATGGGCTGCAGCAAAACACCAACCACGCCCGCAACCAAGTGCACGCTGATGGCATCAACGGCGTCGTCGATCTTCAGGCGAGGCATAGTACGACTCGAAAGGTAGTACCTGCCACAGCGTTGAATAGTTCCACCGATGAACATGCCAAGGTTATTATACAAAATACAGACCAAGCCAGGGGAGATACGAGGTTTGAGGCGAGGTCTGAGGCGGGACGTACAGGCCACCCGAGATACCACCGACCGCAATGGCGGCCCAGGGGCGATACGAGTTGACACCGGCACAGACGGCCACAATGCCCGCCAGCAGGCCGTTGCAAGTCACGCTCAGGTGCAGGTGATCGGTCTGAATCATGTACAGGACGCCGGCCACAAAGCCACCCGCCGCACCGGCCAGAATGGTGTTGACGGCCGTGATGGCCACAATCTCGCCGTTGTCAATCGTGTCTTCTTCGGAGAGCTGCAATTGTGAGCCTAACGCACCAAAGCACGGCACACAGGAATGAGCCGGACAAAGTGTGACAGGCGCAAGGGCACATGTTGAAGCGCAAAGCATGGCATAGTACCCTACAAACATGTTCAAATCGGTGGTAAGCTAGTGTGATTGGTTGGGCAAAAGCGCAAGCCAAAAAAGGAGGGGTGATGAGTCAAGCGTTCAAGACGTACGGCGTTGAAGGCAAAAAAGCCAAAGAGGAGAATAAAGGTGCCCAGAGCAATGAGGGGGGTCGAGTGGGGCTTGAGGTCGAGCAGCTGGCCATCCGGACCCAGGCGACGCATACGCGGGCCAATCAGCCACGTGCCCACGAGCGCGGCACAGCCACCGGTCATGTGGACGATACTGGAATGCACCCGAGCCACACAGAGGTGTACCTCGAAGGTGAGTTGGGCATGGCCAGGGGGGCATGGCCAGGCAGAGAGAGAGAGAGGGGTAAGGGGCAAATGGAAAAGACATACCCAGAGCCAGCAAAGTCCGTGTAGCCCGTGTGGTGGCCATCCAGCGTATGCTTGGAGAGCCAGGCATCCTGACTCCAAGTCCAGTAGACAACGCACTAAGAAAAGGCGGGGGAACGGCCATAAAGTTGAGGATTGGATAGGGGCTGCAGCGTGCGGTTGGTGCGGAGGCGACGGGCATGGTGGGCGATGGGCACACGCACGGGGTAGATGAAGCCGGTGATGAGAATGGCATAGGTCATGTAAGCCATGATGGTAGCGCGTTCGGCGATGGCACCCGAGAGAATGGTCGTGGCCGTGGCGGCAAACGAGTACTGGCGTAGTTTTGAATCAGACAAAAGCGATTCGAGGCGGACGTGCAAGTGAGCCTGGCTGGCGACCGGCTCGAGAGGATCTGGCGAAGGAGTGTCTGACCTGGTAAAAGTAAACTGAATAGTTGCATGTGGCAACGCCTTCAAGGGCAAAGCCTGTCCGCCG